ACAACATCCCTCTTTAGCTTTTGACATTGGGTACTGATATGACCCTACTCTCCATAATTGAAATAGGTTGGACCATCGTTCTTGCATTCAGGAGCATGATGACCCGTCTTACCATATTTGTAGCACCTCAACAACTTATTCTCACATTCATTAGAATGATGACCTTGTTCACCACACCTATAACACTTTATAGGAGCGGGAGCTCCTCCCCCACTTGTCTTCTTCCCAGTATAAGCCTTTTGTTTCCCTTTATCAGCTGAGACATCATAAGGCTTCTTACAGTCTTGATACTGATTTCCTCTTTTCTCGTTCAAACTTTTGTAGTGAGCTGAATGAGCTTCGTTGTCTTCTTCATAGATCCTGTAGTTGTTAACTAACTCTGAAAACACGCGGATCTCCTGATATACAATTTCCTATTTGATTTTTGGACGCAAACCATTATCAAACTTGATACACCTCGAGAACTCAACAGTCGCTTCACTGTAATGTGAGTAATAATTTGCCAGTTCCACAAACTTTAAACCATGCTCTATCACAGTCAAGTTCCCTTGTTTTAACTCCAGAAACTCAATCTCTTTCTTTTCGCGCACATGCTCAGGAAAGTACTTCCTCAAAAACTCCATGCTGAACACAACCCAATTAATAGCTTCTCCCACCACTATCAGTCTATGACGGGTGCCAACCCACCAGTCATCAGCTTCCTCTGCCAGTTGTACCAAATCACACCTTATGCACCTCTAATTAATCCATGACTCGAAAGATCCTATCAATCTCCTTGAGCCAAGTACGTGCTCCATCAAGATTGTATCTACCTTTGAAAACAAGTGGATGATTCCTCTGAGACGTCTCTAAAACCTGAGATCCATCATTCCCACCAGCATTAGGCTGATGTTGCATAGCCTGAGCGATAGCCTTCAGAGCAGTAGCAATCGCAACATCGTTTCTTCCATCCATCTCTCTGTTTCTTACCAATAACAATCACAATGGTTAGAAACTATCTCGACAGTATTCCACTGTCACACACTACAGACTCAACAACCTGGACGGACAGACCGACCTGCTCTGATACCACTAATGTAACACCCTTATAAATCCGCATATATTTTGTATATTAATTTTATGAAAAATAAAACAAATAGAATCACCAACAAGGGTGTCTTATCTTCACACAAACGTCATACTAACATCCTGCTCTGTAACATGGGTTTTTGAAAATCAATCATAACAAATACTTCATTAATGACAATGTCACTTCAACTTCTCGCAATAGAATTCATAGTTTTAAAACAATTTATTAAAAGAAATACTTCGTAGGATCCTCATCACACTTTCTCATCTATGATTCACAACTCAATTTAAAAAAATACCATAAAGGTAGTTTAAACTTCAGAGCAAGACCCTTTTATTCTACAGGAAATAAAGAACACACTCCACAACTATCCTCTAAGCTTCGGCGAACTATTCTTGATTACCTTAGATTCTAGCTTTAATTCCTGATCCAAACTCTATGGTTGATTCTCTTCTCTTCTCTTTGTACCCTAGCTCTTCATTGTTCTCTTCCCAATTTTCACGATCATACAAAATGAAACACTTTTCTCTCTATTATTTGTTTAACCCTTGGCCTTTTCTATGGTCTTCTCATCTTACCCTCACTTACACCATAATATTACCACCATGTCCTCATAGCCTCTATCTATTATTACTATTATTATTATTATTATTATTATTCTATTTAAGTAATTAAAATAATTCCAATTAATTATTCTAATTATATAAATTATTCTAAAATACTTTATACCTTCTTAATCCCTACCACTTCATCATACACCACGCAAAACATCATATCAAGCATCATGGTCATCAATACATCACATAAAACACCACAAATATGTCACAAAACTCATCATAAATTAATCAAATAATTAAATAAATAATCTAATTATTTTAGGGTGTTACAACATACGATTCATTAGAAGTCAGTTTGGCCATTGTGTTTACTTCAGATTTCGACCTGGAAATTCATTTGTTATTTTGTTGCTTTATGTTGATGATGTTCTCATAGCAAACAAGAATATCGAGGATGTAATGAAGGTGAAGGATAAACTCAATAAGGAGTTTTACATGAAGGATTTGGGAGTTGCATCCAGGATTCTTGGGATTGACATCCGAAGAGATAGAAAGCAATCAAAATTATGTTTATCTCAAGAGACATACCAATAGAAGATTCTCTACAAGTTTGGTATGTCGAATTCAAAGCATGTTGTGACTCCGATAAACCCTCTATTCAAGCTGGGTATAGATCTGCGACCCGGTATTGAGATTAAAAGAGCTTATATGAATATCACCCCATATGCCATCATAGTAGATTCTTTGATGTATGCTATGGTATGTACTAGACCCGACATATCATATGCAATAATTCTTATAAGCAGGTTTATGACGAATCTCGGAAAGGATCATTGTGAATCCTGGAAAAGCTCACTAGCAAGCATTGTAGTGGATTATAAGGTACATAAATGGGTCTCTAAATGTAGTCCTTATTTATATTGGAGCCCATGGTGAAGATATTAAAGCAATAATCGAAGGATATGTTAACTCTGATTATGCAGGTTGTATGGATCCAGAAAATCTATTTCTGGATATGTGTTTAATATGTTTGGCACAACAATCAGTTGAAAAGCGACACTTCAGAAGGTTGTTTTCTTATCAACAACTGAAGCTGAATGTATCGCCCTAGCTGAAGTTGTGAAATAAGAATTGTGGCTAGAAGGTTATGCTTTCACTTTATTCCATCTAAAGCAATTCATACGTTCTTTTGTGAGTTTGTAACCTCACCTCTTTCTCCTTCTCAACACCTTCAAATGATTTCTCCATAATTTCCCATGCTACTTTTGTTGATTCAACATCACTCATCTTTTTTAAATTATCTGGACTAACATATTGATGATTATAAAGAGAGCTTTATAATTCTTCTTCTTCTTCTTCTTAAATCCTTGTGTGCAGCTTCTTATCCCTCACGTCTTCTTCAAATAGCATTACTCCTTCTTTCACAAGATCCCAAAGATCTTGATAACAAAAAACGATCTTCATCTACTTACACCAATTCTCATAGTTGTCAACTTTTAGAATTAGAAGAATCACTAGAAAATGCATGTTCTGATGATTCATCGTACTATGCTCCCCAAGAATCACACAGCCAGTACTCTAGATACCAGATGTTGGAATTACACCAAATCTATGGAGAATCCTGAATCAATCTTGATGAACAAGATTCAATCACACCGATTAAATTCCCTCTTGTTCTTCACTCTTCACTCGAGTGAATTAACCAACCTTGATTGAAAGATGATTTTGTTGTACAATGATTATGGAAGAGGAAAAAGAAATGATGAATTGGGGAAGAAACTGAATTGGGGGTTTCAACGAAAGAGGAAGAAGAAAGAGTTGTGAATTATGTAATGGTCTCTTACCATATATTTTGTTGAGTCCCATGAAAAGTTTCTGTAACGAACAGGGTAAAAAATTTCTTGTCCAATCTCTCATTTTTTAGCAACTCAAACGCACCCTAAAATCACGTGAATAAAGTTTTATCAAATAAGTCGTTAAATAAAAAATTAATCACCATACCTTCTTTGAAACAAATTGTGAGATATTTGACCGAACTCTAGTATGGTCGAAGGGAAGCTTCTTGGTTCGATCATTCGAAAGAATCTTAGCATGTCGTCGAAGTCTGTTCAAATGTTGTGGTCGAAGACCTACAATGTTGTAGTCAAAGTATGCTCAAGTATGCATGCAGTAGTCGAAATGCTAGGATTGTTAGCATGTCGAATTAGGCATGTTTGTTAAAGCTTAATTGTATAAGTTAGTTTACTCTCTAAGTTAACTTGTGTAATGAGTTTGGATGTAATTGTCTATTAGTTTAGTGTGTTAGTTTTCTTATAAATAGCATACTAGTCTCTCATCATTGCACAATGCAAATCCTAATTATGGTGAGAGAGATTATTTATTATTTTATAACACTTTTAATCTTATTTCAAAAGAAAGTAAAAAATATAAATTTATAACTAGTTTATTGTGTTTTTCTTGCTTTCTTCTTTCTTATCCTTGTGAGTTTCTTAACAATGAAAAAACCTGTTATATTTTTTTATTCCAATATTGTTTTCGCAACGCAAACCATGTTAGAACAAAAAGTTAAATGAAGGAAAACACCAATTAAATGTCTAATTTAAACATTACATTATGATGTAAAGCAGTACCACTCTCTTGAAGCCATATGATTGTTAGTTTATTAAGTCATAATTAATAAAATATAACAATATAAATTAGTATCATAATTATATCAAATAGTACATATCAATAGAAGTAACATCGCAAGCAACAATTGCATATTTTGTTAATTTCATGCTTCACACATGTACCGTCTTTTCAAGCTGTTTGCATTAATTAGATTTCAAATAGATTATACACTATATTAAATAATTGATTAATAACTATAACACGTATGTAACCTGGCTTTGACTCTAAAAAACCTCTCCTCTTCTTCCCACCTCTAACAGAGGGGTTGTAGTGGTTCCAGTTTCCCCAATTTATTTGGGGCTTTTTCCTCCCTCTTAGTGCTGGTTTTTTCTACCTTCAACCTTAATCATTGTTTCCCTACCTTCCGACAACAACCACCAAGTGCTCGTAACTTCAACACCATCGTCACCAACCAGTAACCCAAAATGGATCGGGCATGGAAAACGTCCTCCACCACCAGAAGATGAAGATCTAAGTTATTGGGTTTGTGTTTGCTCTGTTTTAAGTAATATTATCTTGTTTTTTTTTTGGTCCTGTTGTGTATTTTGTTCTTGTGTTTAGGGTGTTTTAAGGTTGCATTTATGGTGTTTGTTGATATGCCACAAAGATGCTTGGATGTAGTGTATGTGTTTGTGAGTGAGAACCTATCAATGGTTGTTGTAGAGCAGAATCTCTTATCCTCTCAACAAATTACTCCTTCATAGATGGTGAGTTTCTTTTACTTGGAGAATCAGTATAATCAAATTGTGGGATCAAAAGCTAGCCCAAAAGCTAAAGACATGATTCGTAACTGGATAGATTTAAAGATTGTGGTTCCAAAACTCATGTTTTATCTGTGCAAGTTTTCTACCTGGCTGCTTGGATTAGGGATTCAGATTTGTAATACCGTTCTAGTTTCTAAGTTCTCAAAATTTAATGATGTCCAAATCTTAGTTGGTTTTGTTATTAGTGGTTTTTTTAGAATGTGGTTAGGAAATGCCCTAACACATTATCTCTCGCAATGTTTATACTATCTGTTTATTATCTAATGGATGAGTTGTTTATAAAAGAAAATTGGCTTTGACTCTCATACCAATCGAAAGATTAAAATATTTTATATTTAAAAATAAGAAAAAATGATAACAGCATTGTATCAGATAAAATTTGTAAGATTTGTGAGATTGTTTCAAAAACGTTGAGTATGAGAGGATAACTATCATAATTATCTTTTAAAGTTTTCAGAGTCATCTATTTGTTTAATGGGGTAATGTTCGTATAATGGGGTAATGTTTTTTTAAAGGAAAATATGACATACATATATACAATAAATGAGACAATGTTTAAATAGCTAAAAGTTGAAGGCAAAAATCTCTCATTGATATAGTCTAATCTATTACGGTCCATTCAGATATAAAACTTGTAATATTATATTTGTCAAAGGCTTTGCCTAGGGCCATGCCCTAGGATCACTTTAGGAGGAGGCGACGACGAAAGATATCTCGGAGGGAGGTATCACCTCGCCCTTGAGTCTTCTCTCGTCCATACGGGAAGAAACGTGGGATAAGGCGTGTCTCAAGTAAAGAGAAAGTCAGGGTCATTACTAGCGTCTCCCTTGAAAATAGAGATTGAACTGTCTACTATTTAACTAAGTGAGTGGTGGTCTTTTCCAAATGAACCCTAAGTCTTATAGGTCCCTAGAAATACATCACCCTTTAAGAGAAAAACACAGACTCTAATACACATATTCCACTATCTTAAAGAGCATCACACTTGTTGTAATCATAACACACGATTAACCTAACCACTTGCCGACAGTTAAGTAGCATCTCCCAACAACAGGGCGTCTCACTTCACGTTAGCTAGTCCCCTAAACCATCTCAAAAACTATCTTATAGGGTTTCTCGCCACCGTAAACAAACTCAGACTACCAAAATATATTATGCCCCTACTAAGACCTCCCAATCTCCCTGTCCTTGTAGAAAAGCACTACATTTATTTTTTAACCAATACAAATGTGTCAAATTCCTATAAAATGATCTAAGATTTGCATATGTGAAAGTTTAATTTAATAAATAAAATTATGTTATACCTTATCATAACGAGTACCAATGAGTCTTAAATGTAGAACATGCAACAAAGGAGGAATGGGAGGAAAGTATTTGTTTAATAAGAAGCAATTTATGGGTTGGTGAGGTTATTAAGTAAACCTACTACTACTCCTTATACCAGTTTGACATTAACCTACATTATTATTATTATACTCTACATTTGCGTTTTCTTCCTTGAACCATGTCAAATTTGGTATGCATATGCATTAATTTAAAAAATATGGAATCCCATTCTTTGCACTTGCTTTATTTAGTCTTGTCCAATCTAACTAATAAAAACCAAACTTCTCTTCTTAGAATAATAAAACATCTATCTGTTGTCTACTGATCAGAAAGATATTGAGAGGAAGGATGAATGGTAGTAGTGCAGCAGGTAAGGTTGTGTGTGTGACAGGTGCTTCAGGTTACATTGCTTCATGGCTTGTTAAGTTTCTTCTCCAACGTGGTTACACCGTTAGAGCCACGGTTCGTAATATAGATAATCCAAATAAGGTTGGTCACTTGCTTAAACTTGATGGTGCAAAGGAAAGGTTACAACTCTTTAAGGCTGATCTACTAGAAGAAGGTTCCTTTGATTCTGCTATTCAAGGTTGTCATGGTGTCTTTCATACTGCTTCACCGGTTCAATTCGTTGTTGATGACCCTCAGGTAAAACATCATCTTCATTAACTATTATAGCAGATCAGTTTTCTTTGCTTACTAATTTTTGAATGTTACTGTTTTCATTTTTCAGACACAATTAATTGTTCCTGCTGTGAAGGGAACTCTTAATGTTTTGAAGTCATGTGCAAAATCGGCATCAGTTAAACGAGTTGTTTTAACTTCTTCTATTGCCACAGCTTTATACAACGGAAAGCCTCGAACACCAGAAGTTGTAGTTGATGAGACATGGTTTTCGAATCCAGAATTCTTATTCGAAAATAAGGTACTATATATGTTGATGTAAATTGTAGTTGTTATGATAATGCTGAGATGAGTGTTTATTTATTGTATTTTCAGATTGGTATCAATTTGCTAAGACTTCAGCAGAGGAAGCTGCAAACAAATTTCTAACAGAAAACAAAATTGACTATGTTGTTATGAATCCAGCTGTGGCGATAGGGCCTCTCTTGCAACCAGAGCTTAACGACAGTTCCACTTTAATTCTTAACTTAATAAATGGTAATCTTTATTTGCTGGTAATTGCGATTGCAGCCTGCAATTTGTACTCATTGATTCAATTGCTTGATGAATTAACAGGTTCAGAAACATTTATGAATGCTGCTTTTGGATGGATCAATGTGAAGGATGTTGCAAACGCACATATTCTGGCATATGAAGATGCTTCAGCTAATGGAAGATATTGTTTGGTTGAAAAAGTGATACATTTCTCTGAACTTATTAAGATTTTACATGATATGTATCCAACATTGCAAATTCCGAACAAGTAAGTTTTATTATTCAATTAAATACTATGACAACATATTTATTAAACAAATATTTGTTTTTTTTATGACTTTTCTAACTAATATTTTCATTTTATAACTAAATTATGTTATCAGGTGTGCAGATGATAAGCTTTTGATGCAAACATTTCAAGTTTCCAAAGAAAAGGCAAAGAAGTTGGGAGTTGAATTTATTCCCCTAGAGAGATAGTAGATAGTTTAAAAGAGAGAAAGTTTGCTGACTTCTAATTTATGATATTTCATTATGAAAATAAATATTGATAATCATAATTACGTTTTGTATTCAAAAACTCGGCTCCATAAGGATGAGTTATTTCTTAATGTAAAACAAGGCATATTGACAATCTCGAAATATGTTTTTTTTCTCTTCATCAACAAAGATTTTAAGACATATTCTAACAATTTCCACCTTGACTTTAAACTGTGCTGATACCAATTTAACCACCAACAACATTGATGCTCTCTACCAGGTTGAAACTCTAATCAATAACCTTGATGAAATTCAAACAACCCTTGAATCTTGATCTCGCCACTTGCATCCACTTGTTTCCAATTACCTTTTTCTGCCTAGGTAATTTAACAAGCCTACAAGTATGATTTTTCTACCACTCTTGACTCTACATATTTTCAAATGTCTCTCTGAAGATTTTTCTTCTTTTATTTTGCAGTCTTTCAGCCACATTAAAATCATAATATTCAATGCTAGCATAACCGCCCTTTTGAGATGTTACAATAACCCTCCTTACCTTATCATGAGTCAAATGATAATCAGAGATCTTTGTAAACGTTCCCTCACTACTGCCAGATTTCTCTTTTGGTTTTCACTATTCTTCCTCTGAGGAAATTCTCTACCAACCAAGTAAATTGTTTTAACTTCAATTTTTCCCTAAAAACTCAATAACAACTCAGCGGTAACATGCATTTTTATCCCTTGATTTCTGCAAAATTTATTATACTCCTCTTAAATTTTCTCAAGGCATTCATAACGCCTTAAACTCAAATCTCATAGTTCTTACTTGTCATGAAAGTCTCCACTAGTTAACGATGAATGAATAAGGTATTTTATTTTGAATTTACTATACTTTCTATAGGTCTATAACCTTTAAGATGGGTGTAATTTTGTGTAATAAGGTCTAAATGCACAAATTGTAACAAAAAGTCATTAAAGAGATAAAAAAAATTGCTCCTTAACAAAAGAATCTATGTTGGTTCTAAGAAAACTACGGTCGTAGAAGTCACTACATGTAGGTCGTATTGCTCCATATTTTTGTACTACGAGCCAGTAAAAAGAGTGGAGGATCTCAGGCCACTACGATCTGTAGCATCTGCTACGACCAGCCATAGTGGCTATGGTCTAGTCTACACACACCTTCTTTTGTGTAGTTCTTCATGTGTTATGTTATAATTTTGCTCCAAGCTGACATGTCTTAACCTTGCTCATCTAAAACACCTAAAAACAAAGATACATAAGTAAAATGAACAAAGTGGAAATCAAACTACTAATATTTAATGATAAAACACACGCAAAAAAGCAATCAAAATACTATTGATAGAATACCCTCATATTTGAATCATAACTTGTCCCCAAATTATTTAACTAGGATATGAAAGATTAGGACAAGAGAAGTTTTCTTGAAAATTTTGAAGGGATGCATGTATGGTGCTCTCTCAAATTCCATGTTTCATCACGTAGGTTTAAATCAATCAATACTCGTTTTATAAGGTTCTTATGAAAACGCTTACTAAATTTTCTCTCAAAAATTAAAACCTCGCCATAGTTCTCATTATAAGTCTATGTATTTGTCATTTTTTTCCTTCCAAAACAAATTTGTGATCATATTTAAAACATTTTCACATATTTTCACAATTTTCAGTTTATACGATGTGATGTTTTACACAATTTTCAGGATTATCCTACCTAATCCAATTAAATGAACTTTTGTTCATGTATATTTTTTATTTTTTCTAAGTATTGGAGATCAACTATCCTTTAGACCAAATAATAGGGGTGAGATTACCCAACTTAATAAGCGCATTTGTCTTTTCCTTCCTTTTTTCCTTTTGTTTTTCTCTATGCAACTCAATCAACACATAACATACCGACATAATAATCATATTATGCCAAACCATCAATGTATGAATTTCAAAAATATTTTGGTAAATTAGCGAAGACTAAAGTTAAAACATGCTAAATTAAGATCAAATTGGGAGGCTCTGGGTGTTAGGATAAAAATGATTTCTAAATCTTTCTCAAAATTCTTAAGCATAGGCCTTGCGTCTCATGAGTTAGCTGCTTTTTCACACAATGCACCAAAGAAATTTTTTAAACTTGTTGCCCCTTAAGTAGGAAATCAGAAGATTTTAGAAAAATCCTCCAAGCTCGAGCAATAATCATTATTAAACAGACTCAATTTTATATCCCCATGAACATGATTACAGTTAGTTCTCTTAGTAGTTAATTATAGAGTGCTTAAAAACTCAAAAGTCACTTTTGTATAAGTAGGACATTTGAGCGTAATAAAATAGTTCATTCCTATGTTGTTAAACAACGTTTCTACCTCATTCTTCAAACCTAGAGTAGTAAGAGTAGGACATTTCAGGGTAATAAAACCTCTAAATTCAATTTCATTAATACAAAAATACACTTTAGAAAGATAGAAGAACAATTACAATTTTCTAATATATAAGATAAAATTAAAATTACACAAAATAAATTTATAAAAGATACTGTTCAGATCAACCTATTACCTTTTGGAAGAGAAAGATACATACGATTTATTTGTCTTATGAGTGTGACTTTAAGAAACACAATATTCTGACAAAATCTAGATCCATACAAATAAATAAATAACATTTAGATTATTGCAAAAATGAAATAAAAGATTACTCAGAAAAAGGATTAATCAGGCCGAGTAAGTATCTCTTAAGCTGCTTAGCGTTTTATGATATTAATTTCATAGAATTAGAAATAAGAAGTCATCGATTAGTGATAAATTATAAACCTTTAAATAAAGAATTACAATGGATTAGATACCAAATACTTACTAAAAAGGATTTGATAAATAGATTACACCTTAAGAGTATATTTTCAAAAATTGACTTTAAAGTTGACTATTATCTAATCAAATTACAAGAAGGTCATAAACATAAAATTGCCTTTGTAGTACCCGTTAGGCACTAAGAATGGAACGATATGCTATTAAGGCTTTAAAACGCCCTCTCAGAATTGCAGAACATTATGAATTCTATATTTAATAATTATTCTCACTTTACTACCGTTTATTTAGACGATATACTAGTATTCTCTAATCTCATCCACCAACACCTAATGATGGAAAATTAAGACACAATAACAAACTAATACGCAACGGATATAAAAATTATCCACACTTGTAGAAACTTTGAGGATCGATAATAAATATAAGACGGCTAATCGAATAAATAAAGGCACAAAAGAACACTGATATTTTAACGTGGAAAACTCTTCAAGATGAGAGTAAAAATCACTAGTCGTCCAGACCAAAGAAATAGCTCCATTATAATCAATTAAGGGTACAAGAGAGTCTTAAAGTGATTCACTAACTAGTGATAACAACTGCAGATCACAAAGTAAACTAGCTTACAAATAAGAATAAAAAAACTGAAAAATCACTCAAATATACAACTTCAGTGCGAAGTAGGTATCTCTCAATTCAGACCTTACTTTAAAGACCCCAACTGTCAAAAGTTAGATACAATTGTTGTGAACCTGCCCTCCAAATTTGAACTCGATCTGATGGCTAACGAATTCAGGATCGTCAATTTAGTAAGACTGGTTGCAAAAAAATAGGAATAAGTTTTTCTCCTCTTTTCTGTCTTTTGAATCCTTATTTTCTCTCTATCTCTCTCAATCCTAAATTTACACTCTTCACTTAAATAAGTGAAACAAATGAGCTATTCATATTTGGTCCTTTCTTCACATACGAAGGGATCTCAAACCCAACAAATCCCCCTCACAACTATGTGGAGGAAATCGTCAAACCGACGATATCACAACAAACTTCAAACTCCCCTCTTGGTAATGTTTTAGTCATCATATCAAAATCATTACCATTGTATGAACTTTAACTAACTCCAACAACTTAGTGTTTACCTTGGGATTTGGTAAACAATCGCTGATCCTCCAAATGGTTACTTATTTGGTTACTCGCAGGATCGATCAGATTGATCCTAGGACATAGGTTGATTTTGAAGTTTTGATTAAGTTGGATAAGGCTTTAAATAAAGAGGCTTTAAATGAAATTGCATGAAGAAAGGACTTGGTAAAATAAACAAGGCTTAAAGTAAAAGGTTTCGACAGAAATGTAAAGAGGAAAGCAAGTAAATTTCTGGAAAAGTAAATGACTTTGATTAATAAAATTGGTGTTTCACACATACATTTCTCAACAATTCTTTCTCACACGCTGGGTACTCGAATCTATATGAGTGACTTTGTATAGAATTGTGAACACACGCGAGAAACTACATGTCTACTACTATTTATACTAAAACATCCCAAGTAACCGTCGGGCAGTTACACTGCTTCGAGATGATTCCACTTGGCACGCTCTCAACGTTCGACGCTCCAGATCTTTGCACGCTGCACGTGGTAACTGCTGGAAACCGTTTTCCCTCCAAACGCTTGAATTTCAAACTGCTCCACTCTGAACCATCGAACACTTTCGTCGAGAGACATCTTCGACGAGAAACTCCTTCGAGGTCGAAGGCAACCAACTTCTCCCTTGGAAGAAATCTTCTAAGTACTTTGCCATCTTTCGACGGGCATTTCGACAGACTTAGCCAGTCGAAAACATCCTTCAGCTTTAATGGCTGACATCAATAAAACAAGGGTGTCGAATTTAGGAGCCAACAAATTGCCCCCCAAGAATGCCTTATTTCGACTCTGAAAGAAAAAGGCATTCTTTGAAACGCCATTCGACACCTGTCTTTTCACGCTTAGTCACAAATTAACTTGTGCACTTTTTGTTGTTTTCTACCAACCATTGGCAATCCCAAGAAAACCATCATTTATCCGTACCTAGGACGTCACTTTCAGTACGGCGTGCAGTACCAAACGTCATTTCAGAATTTGTCATTATGACAATTCCCAAAAACGAGGACGCACGCTGCGTCCCTCTATTTCTGCAGAACGGCTAAAACAACAGGGGGCTGCCACGCGTCCCACTATCTCCTGCAATAATTAAATGGCA